GTTCCACTTGAACACTAATCTCTGTTCCAATCTGTGTGTTTGGTTGTCTTCCCGCTGCAATACGACGTCCACTTTCGTAACAAACATGTTCAATAAGGGCCAGATCCATGGGAGTGAGTGAGTGAGTTGGGTTTAACGCCCCCTTTTCACAGTATTCCAGTTATATCACGGCGTGTCAGCTTAATGTGGAAGGAAAGCCCGAAGTGATGCAGGTCTCAGACGTTTACCACTTCGGTGAAACCCACGAGCACGGGTATGGTGCTTACAAACCTAGAAACATAATTGGGGTGAACCGGGAGTCGAACCCATAATCATAGGTTTCTGGCATGCCCAAGGGCCGCAACTCTGCACCCGTGCCCCCAGATCCATGGAGAGAGATGGTCATGGAGGTATGTTGATGTTGATCTGAGCCAGACACGCCATCTTGCTGTATTGACCATTTGAGGATGTGCAACAAACATGGGAACAACATGAGGACGATGTACCTGATCATACACAACATCAAGCATGAAGCAGGGGCCTATGGTTGCTGGTTAAGGCTCCCAAAACCATCATTCTTCCACCACGCTATGACACAGCTATACGCCAAACACATACACGACTGTCATGAGAAAGATGGTAGCGAGACTCGTAGGAAAAGACAGCTTGACGCCACTAAGCACCTCGCCATCGATGATGTTGCTGGGCCCACTGTTGGTGTTGTTGTGTCAAATTGGTCCTACATGCGGATGTTGACAGTGGCGTTGTGCAGTGTGGTGACGTAGTCGAATCATTTCTGCGTCGTAATGGTACCTCAGAGTGAAAATGCACGTGATTTTACCCGGATCATGGCTGCGCAATTGCAAAATTCACGGTTCTTGTTGATTGTGTTTGAGTTTGTGCGCATGTATGGAATGGACGCCATGTTGCATGACATCAGTTCACCTGTCAGCATTTCAGCATTTTACAATTCACACAAAACGGAATGCCAATCATAAACTTTCTTAAAGGCCATTGTTCTATAAGAAAGTTTATGATTGGCATTCCGTTTTGTGTGAATTGTAAAATCCTGAAAGGCCATTGTTCTATAACCCGTGAAGATTCCGAGGTCTTGGTCTTGGTCTTGGTCTTGGTCTGTCGGTACCATACTCTTGCTCGTTCCACCAAAGTGTTTAACTGCTACTACATGTGGCGCTGTAGCTATTGCTACATACAGCTGACCCACATCACTATAACTGAAATACTGACAGTACACACAAAGCGACGTTAAACTAAAGCTCACTCACTTACTCATCCTAACCAATGAATAATTCGCTGCATGAGTTGACCGGTTTAATGCAGATATGTATAACCACTAGATGTGAATGTCGCTTATACCATAGACTGCAATTGTAATTATTTTCGTAAAGCTAAACCTCGACTTTCCGTGTAATCCAAACACGATTCAGTCTCATTAAAATGGTATAATTAACATCAGTTTCGGGAGAAAAAGCTTTGCATTTTAACAGCGGTCTCCGTGTGTAATACCAATCACACTTTGTGTAATTGGGTAATTATTCATAGAAACCCTGCGTAAACTGTTTCCCTGTCTGATTGCGGTCGGGCCGCAGCTGTCTCTCAAATGGGTATTGGTCAGTTTGCTGAGTCCGTCATTTGGTCAATTGATTGTGTATTCATAGTGCCACGCTGAACACTTGAGGGCGTCGACTGTGTCCGTCGTGTGTCTGGAGCACTTCGTTTCTGTTGTACTGGAGTAAAACTATTAACATTAATATACGCGTACACGTGTGGTTGGATAGTAGTAAATATATAATTTATGAATAAACTCCCAAAAACCTTATGGTTCGAATCCCCGATTTTGTTTCTAGGTTTGTCAGCACCATACCCGTGCTAGGCGGTCCTCAATTAATTGAAACTGCTTAACTAGATACTAGTATCCGGTATGATAAAATTATGTACATGATCCCGGCAAAACTTGTGTCTGCTGTATTGTCTTCTGTCGGCACCATTTCGGTACGTATTTCATAACTGTTATGCTGCATAATTCATGTCCTTCAGAAAGACCCCTGCCATTCTTAGTACCTGAAGTAGACATTCACCTTTTATTCTTGACACACGAAGAAGACTTTTTTACTTTTCATTCTTGGAACCTGAAGAAGACTTTCACGTTCAAATTTTGATACCCGGAGCAGACTTTCATCTTCCATTCTTGATACCTAAACCAGACTTTCATCTTCCATTCTTGATACCTAAACCAGACTTTCATCTTCCATCTTTGATACCTAAAGAAGATTTTCACCTCCCATCCTTGATACCTAAAGTAGACTTTCACCTTTCATCCTTGATACCTGAAGAAGACTTTCACCTCCCATCCCTGATACCTAAAGAAGACTTTCACCTTTCATCCTTGATACCTGAAGAAGACTTTCTTCTTTCATCCTTGATACCTGAAGAAGACTTTCACCTTCCATCCTTGATACCTATAGAAGACTTTCACCTTCCATCCTTGATACCTGAAGAAGACTTTTACCTTTCATTCTTGATACCTGAAGAATACTTTCACCTTCCGTTCTTGATACCTTAAGAAAACTTTCACCTTTCATCCCTGATACCTAAAGGAGACTTTCACCTTCCGTTCTTGATACTTAAAGGAGACTTTCACCTTTCATCCTCGATACTTAAAGGAGACTTTCACCTTCCGTTCTTGATACTTGAAGAAGACTTTCACCTTCCATCCTTGATACCTAAAGAAGACTTTCACCTTTCATCCTTGATACTTGAAGAAGACTTTCACCTTCCGTTCTTGATACCTGAAGAAAACTTTCACCTCCTATCCTTGATACTTAAAGCCTGACTTTCGCCTTCCATTTTTGATACCTTTAGATGTCCATCGTGCATTCTTCATCTCCATTATAATACCCTTTTTCTAAACTGTGACTTGCTAAAAGCATCCATTTTTGTTCGTGGTGGACTAGGAACTTGGAAAACCTCTATGGAGTCAATGGTTAATTTGGAAGTGAATATCACTATACGGTTGATGATTAACATCATCCCATATTGAAAAGAAAACATTAGGTTATCTGTTTATTCTTTTCTCGATTAAATTGACGTCAAACACCTCTATTAAGAATGATTTTGATTTTGAACTGTTTCTAACTCAAACATCCCCATTGTTATATCTGGGTATCTGGAAGTTTTACTTAAAATCGACATTATAAAAGGTGAAATAAGTTACATTAATTTTGAAAATAAGGACAATTGAAGAAACTGCTTTACAGTGAGACTATACTGTCTAAACATTCTGTTCTATGTGATTTTTACCACACACACAATAATTCCAAACATGATTATAACCCATTCCATTATACTTAATGTTTCTCACCAATGATATGAGACGTGACGTTTACTAAATAACAATTCTAAAATGTCAGTACTCGCATTGTTTTCTTTTTGTGTTGGCAATATTGACAGAGAATGTATGTGAGAACATAATCACTGCACACTCGTGATGGTACGGTAATGGCTATTTTCTGTCGACAAGGCCAGCCTTGTGATAGTCTGGTGTGGACACGGCGCTGTTGCTAGTAATCTAGGAAACCACACGACTGCGGTGCGAGTTACACAAGTTTCTCCCAAGCTTTGTTCTCATGTGTCGATACCTGCCTGGCTTCATGACTGAACACGAGCCATCACCTTAAGTCTCAAATATCCCCCTTTTCCCATAACCATGGTTACATCACAATCATTTAATAAAATGGACAATGAGATTGCGGACCGTTATCCAAAGCCATGCCAGCCAATGAGATAAGCTTAAAAGAAACAGAGTGTTGATGACCTATTTTACCAAGGGGGAAATCCCCCGAGTTGATCTCAGATGGTCGACCAATATCTTCCATTGTGGTCTGCGATCCTCCCTGTAGACGACAGAGCATCGAGACGCCCGCCATTATTCGAAATGCTTGTAATCTCGGCACATCAATAAATATCTGACAGCGCGTGTCAGCCGCCACGGCGCGGGGCACCGCGGAATTGTCAAACTGTTGCTTCTCCGCTCGAATGCAACAGGCGAATACAGCGATCGTAGCACAACTGTTCATCGTCCAGGTGCTCGACCACGTCTTATCGTGGCGCCCAGCGAGTACGCGATTCAATCTGGAAGTACCTGTTATGTAGTGCTTGGTTGCCATGACTATGGCTTATGAGATGAGTCGTTTCATTAATCATTGTCACAGACATTGGGGGTTTCGACCAATTAGCAGTGTTTAGATTTATACACAGAGTGTGGATTAAACATCATAACTGGCATTGCAGACTCATTGTGATTACACTGCGACCAACATGTGGTCGGGATGGGATCGATACTCTCTGGAAACTTCAAGGGTCACCGAAGTCAGCATGTTTTTCAGTGAAATACTCAGTTCGACCATTTGACCTCATGGACAAATGTCCACGCGGATCTACCTGTAATTACCTTGGTCACAGGTGTGATGACAGTGGATTGACTTCTACAGTTGTTTACGTTGCTTCGTTGATGTAAGCTACCTGCCTTTGAGTGGAAGTACTTCTTGGACGGCTACCATGGATCCTGTTTGCTGTCAAATACTGTAAGAAACGCGAGATTGTTTACTTCTGTCACAAGTTTATATGGGTATTTGTATTGCTTAACACTGTCGACACCAATATACTTTCAATAGTGTTAAATAATTAATAATTACCTTTGTTCAAACAATATCACTTTCATATGGGTGTGCATCGGGTACTTGCAGCGAATAAGCCAGTTCGATGCAAGCGGTTGATCATGATGTATTTCCAGGCACAACTGAGATTGAGATGTTTGGGGATTGAAGGGTATAGTGACGGAGTTAAATATTTACTCACGCCGGGGACACGAAGTACAGGCTTCGAACAGTGTACCCTGATCAGTATAACAACTGGAACTAAGTTATTCCAATTACACCTTCTCTCCTTCATCGACTGATGCAGTTGACCCTTTTGATAATTTATAACCGTTTTTCTTACAGCAGACCGTGGCGAAATTACCTGCAGACCGAGAACGTCCCAGTGAGCGTATCCCCCGACCTCCGCCGAAGCAGGTGTTTCTGTTGGCGAGTCCCGGATACCGACTCGAAGATGGCCCTCATTGAACAAGGGAACAGTGCTCCTCCCGAGAACTGCCACCGTCTGGTCATCCTGGGCTCTTCCAAAGTAGGCAAGACCTCCATAGTTTCACGCTTCCTGTACAGTAAGTTTGACGATAACTATACGCCAACTATTGAAGACTTCCACAGGAAGATCTACAGGATAAAAGGGAACCCTTATCGTCTTGATATTCTGGATACATCTGGCAACCATCCTTTCCCTGCAATGAGAAGGCTGTCGTTGATAACAGGTAAGCCTGATTTGAGTTTTTGTTTCGCAATTTCATCTTTCAAATATATTGAAATTGACTGCTCTTTTCCTAAACATCAATGTATTACAACTGATCTACTTGTTCGTAGTAGGTAAACCAGGGTAAACATTTTTCTCAAATTTATGGGTCAATTTATGATAGTCTGTATGCTGTCTGTTCTAATATTGAACCCTATTTTTGTTTTAGGGCATTTGTATGACTTAATCACGTAATTTAGGGTCGCAATGGGACGGACGTCATTGAAATGTTTTTTCTTTGCACAAAGAGTCTTTCCTCATTGATCTGCATTGTAACAAGTGCAAGTAATACACAATTACCAGATAAATATGTGCAGTTAATGAAGTTACTACGTCAATCTACACATCTTCATCTGTGTATGTATTCACGACAGAAAAGGGTTTTGTTTTATTTTTTGAACATGCGACACACTTTGACGCAAGAAAGAAAAGTTTGCATCTGTCTATACCATAATGGAGTATTGTGAGTTTTAAAGAAGTAAACGATAAATAAGTAACCTCCCCGAATTCTGGAATATGTAGTTTCCGTGCTCAATTGATTTTTGTTGGCGAGTATCAAGTTCTCTGTATATGTAATCGGTGATCTGGTTTGATAGCGGTCCGCGACTACGTAATGTCACTACTCTGTGTAATGTTGGTTGATGATAAGATCTGGTAGTATGGTAATCCTGCATGCATACATACGAGCGACAGTTTCCGTACACAAACGTCACTGTGAATCAGCAGATTGGAGACGAGACGCCCGATTACATCGACCAACTCGTACAATATCATCTCCTTTAGTTGAATGTGCGCCCGGGAAATCATCAATTCATGCATTGAGTCTAAAACCCACCGTCTTCCAATTCTCGTTCGGTTTCCATTCGTGCTCTGGCTCACTTGACTCGTGGTTATTCATCTGGTGGTTGCCAGGTGCAAAATTACCCGTCAAATTTGAGTGTGTGAGTGAGTGAGTGAGTGAGTGAGTCGGGTTTAAAGCCGCTTTGAAAATTATACCAGTTATCACGGCGTGTCACCTTAATGTGGGAGGAAAGCCAGAAGTGATGTAGGTCTCAGAGATCTACAACTTTGTTGGAACCCACGAGCACTGACAAACCTTGAAACATAATCGGGGAAAACCGGGTTTCGAACCCAAGATTAAAAGTTTCTGGCTTGCACTCTGCACGGCGAATTGTGGCGCCTTAGACGACTGGGCCACCCGTATCCCCCGTCAAACGAGAACCCATAAAGTGTCCCTGTTGGTGAAGGTCCTTGAATAGGGGTGCCGTGTGAAAACACGTGCCCAGATATTCCCCATCACCCATTGACCATCTCAGCAGATAAGACGACCATGTGTTCCTTGTAACAGCATTGCATAGCAATATTTCAACGTAACGTTTCCCTCGCATGACTCCAGCGTACCTAAACATCAGGGTCACTACAGTAGATAAAGTCGTCACTTGTCACTGGACACAAATCTACATGTATAGTGAAACCTCCTTATACCGACCCCGTTTTCTGGAATATTCTGTTAGGACCATTTATATTTATTAATATTTATCAATGGACTGCGCACAGGGTCACAAATCAGGTGAAGTTAAGCAACGTGGTTGCGGAGAGTAGTTGGATGGGTGTCCGTAATCGGCGGCTTGACTCCTGAGAGTTTCTAGGGATTCGTAACCGGCCCCACACTGAAGTCCATATGGCACATGAGGTGTCTCCTTAGGCAAGTGCAAGCTTGGACGCAAGGTTAAACCCCAATTCACCTCACCTCACCTCACCTCACCTCACCTCACCTCACCTCACCTCACCTCATCTCACCTCACCAAATATGCCTCTGTTTACCCAGTAGTGAATGGGTACCTGGTAGGATGAGATGACAATGTGAGTTTCTATCACCTCCCAGGTCGCTTGGGTTGTATACTGCACAGGAAGCTGAGAATGTATTTCGATGGTCACTGATCCATCATACGTCATAGCAACGGAACACCATGAGGACGGAATCTGGAGCAGTATAGATTCACGGCTAATTGTAGCAGCGTATTGTCTAAAGCGTTCACTCATCATGCCGAACTACCGGATCCAATACTGAACACTTGATCAGTGATGACATTGCAAACTGGACACGTGTCCAGCATGAACACATTTCACAGAAAATGACAAAGGTCAAGGTCATGCGAAGTGTCTGGTACTGCCGATGGGGAATGTAGCCCACTAAGACTGGAGTATGTGCAATCTGTTGAAGTGTCTGTTATTCAGAATAACCTTGTGCATGGCCATCCAACTCGTCTCAGTGGTATATAGGGCCAAGGAAAGACTTGTGTTTTGTGGTTCCGTAGTATTCTGCTGTTACAAGATGATGGATTGATAGTGGGAACAAGTTGCGGCTGGAGGATCTCACGTCAGTCCGCTGCCATTTTCTGGTTAGATATCTTTCGCAATACTGCTGTTGTTGACGACTGTGTTGTTGTTCCCCCTTTGCCGCAAATGACGTAGTCACGTGGTTTGTCACGTGACGTACTTTGCTGTTCACACCAATGCTAAAGTCCTACAATGGTGATATGGCCGACTGCTAATTTCCTGTTTCAAATTGTCCGGCGAGATTTTTACGTTGACTTTCTGTTTGTTGTAGCACGTTTTTTCTACCGTGAAAACATACGCACGCACGCACGCACGCACGCACGCACGCACGCACGCACTCTATACGCCTATTCCTGTTGTTTCATGTGCAGGACATACATCTACATGTTCTTTATTGGTATTACTTTTCTGTATTGTTACTAGTGGTTTTGCATTTGGTCGTTGCTGCGTTTGATTGTTTCACCAATGTCATTATTTATTTGGTATCTAACTTATATCGTTGATGTGCAAATGTCTTTCCTGTATCTAAACTAACACCACTTCAGCGTTTCTGTTAGGGCTTTTTGAGTATGGTACACAGTACACTTAACGTCAGTTATTGCCCAACATATGGTGTTTTTCCTGTGAATAATACGAGCCGGTGTCGCAATTGAACTATAGTAGTTTTGCGTGCGTTCTAATCGTATCGTAACTGCAGGTAACTTCAGAACCCAAAAATGCCTTGCGTAATTAAGTACAATCTTCCTGTGAAATATGACATATGACTGAGGTATCGATTGTGTGATGGCACATCCAGGCAGAATGATTGATTGCTAAGCCGCGAGAATAGACAGGCAGCTCTAAACACAATGACATTAGATTTCAGGTAAAAAAGATTAATTGGGTTGTATTAAAACGTCATCCGCAGCAGTGTTCAAATTATGATGATAGAAGTTGAGTAAGAAGGGCTGTTGTAATCGTCAATCAGTTTTCGTGGCTGACAAAGTAACAATATTTGATAGTCGAACGTAATAGTCTTCAGGAAATTGTCGCTGAGGGTGTGTGCCTGTCGTAGGACCTATCTCGTAGTATGTGGGCAATGTGTAAAGATGAAGTAAAGGAAGCATTTAGTATGAAGGCAGGATGTAAACATTAAGTAAAGGAAGCATCTCGCATGTAGGCAGCATGTAAACATTAAGTAAAGGAAGCATCTGGTATTTAGGCAGCATGTAAATATGAAGTAAAGGAAGCATCACGTGTGGAGGCAGCATGTAAACATTAAGTAAAGGAAGCATCTCGTGTGTAGGCAGCATGTAAACATTAAGTAATGGAAGCATCTCGTGTGTAGGCAGCATGTAAATATGAAGTAAAGGAAGCATCTGGTATGTAGGCAGCATGTAAATATGAAGTAAAGGAAGAATCACGTGTGTAGGCAGCATGTAAACATTAAGTAAAGGAAGCATCTCGTGTGTAGACAGCATGTAAACATTAAGTAAAGGAAGCATCTGGTATGTCTGCAGGATGTAAATATGAAGTAAATGAAGCATCTGGTATGTAGGCAGCATGTAAATTTGAAGTAAAGGAAGCATCTGGTATGTAGGCAGCATGTAAACATTAAGTAAAGGAAGCATCTCACATGTAGGCAGCATGTAAACATGAAGTAAATGAAGCATCTGGTATGTCTGCAGCATGTAAATATGAAGTAAACGAAGCATCTGGTATGTAGGCAGCATGTAAATATGAAGTAAAGGAAGCATCTCGTGTGTAAGCAGCATGTAAACATTAAGTAAACGAAGCATCTGGTATGTAGGCAGCATGTAAACATTAAGTAAACGAAGCATCTGGTATGTAGGCAGCATGTAAATATGACGTAAAGGAAGCATCTCGTGTGTAGGCAGCATGTAAACATTAAGTAAACGAAGCATCTCGTGTGTAGGCAGCATGTAAACATTAAGTAAACGAAGCATCTGGAATGTAGGCAGCATGTAAATATGCAGTAAACGAAGCATCTGGTATGTAGGCAGCATGTAAACATTAAGTAAACGAAGCATCTGGAATGTAGGCAGCATGTAATTCGTAAGCAATGTCCAGACACAACACCCAACGGTGACGATACAATATGATTCAAACTTGTTACAGGTTGTCCATCTCTGTTGAGATGTTGTTTGAGAGTTATTTCTAAATAAGAAATGTCAACCTTTTCCGGAAATATGAACGTAGCAAGAAAAGTAGATTAACGAAGCGGTATGTATCATGTTGCGTCTGTAGACTCAAGCTAGAGACTACTTAACGAGATGTGTTTTATGATATATCGGTTAAGATGAATGTAAGCCTTCCCGGAACATATAAAAAGACAATGAGAAAGGTTTAACTGGTCAGTGAAACTTAATAGGCATTGGTGTGTGTAAAACTGGTTTTATGTTGCTGGTTCATATTTAGACACAATGTTTGTTATTCCGTCGGATTCTTAAACAGATCGGGGGTACAGGGTGTGGGGCAGTCGTCTAAGACGCCCCCCACCCCACCCCCCTTACCCCGTACCAAAGGCACGTCAAAGGAATTTCATCCTCTTTTGACTATGTGTATTTAACTTAACAAGTGTTTCTGTACCGTCAATTTCGATTAAAACAAATTCGATGCATA